CCTCACTTTCTTGAAATATTTCAATTTTTATTCCATCAATTCCTGGTGCCTTGTTCTTTGCCAATTCCTTCAATGCACCTTGGACTTCTTCCTTCAGTATCATTGGTTCTTGGTCATGTGCTACCTTTTGAAACTGTTGAACATTAGCCATTTCCTTTTGATACAGTGACTCTGTGTAATTCCTTCCATCTTCTTTTGATGTTTTCTGCATCATTCAATAATTTGCCCAGAGAATCCTTCAGTAACATAAGTAGAAGCTTGATTTTTTTTCTTCAGTTCCCCCAGTTTGAGAAATGCTAAGCGTGTTCTTCCTTTTTGGTTTTCTGACTCTAGATCTTTGCACATTTTGTTGTAATATTTGACTTTATCTTCTCCAGCTGACCTTTGAAATTTCCTGTTCAGCTCTTGGACCTCCTCATTTCTTCCATTTGCTTTAGCATCTCTGTGCTAAAAAAGTTTCAATGTTTCTTCTGACATCCTTTTTGATCTTCTTTCTTATCTTCTTAATGACATTTTGCTTTCTTTCTGTATGATGTTCTTGATGTCATCCCACAACTCTTCTGGTCTTCAGTCTTTTGTGTTTAATGTTTCAAATCTGTTCTTCAGATGATCTCTAAATTCAGGTGGGATATATTCAAGGTCATATTTTTGCTCTCATGGACTTGTTTTCATTTTCTTCAGCTTCAGTTTCAATTTGCATATGAGCACTTGATGGTCTGTTCCACAATCTGCCCCTGGCCTTGTTTTGACTGATGATATGGAACTTTTCCATCGTCTCTTTTTGTAGATGTAGTCAATTTGATTTCTATGTATTCCATCTGGTGAGGTCCATGTGTATAATCGTGTCTTATGCCGTCTGAAGAAGATATTTGCAATGAATAAATCATTGACTTTGCAGAATTCTATCATGCGATCTCCAGCATCATTTCTATTACCAAGGCCATGTTTTCCAAACTACTGATCCTTCCTCTTTGTACCCAACCTTTGTGTTCCAATGACCTGTAATGATCGATACAACTTGATTGCATGTTTGATCAATTTCAGATTGAAGAAGCTGATAGAATTCTTCTATTTCATCTTCACTGACTTTAGTGGTTGGTACATAAATTTGAATAATAGTGGTATTAATTGGTCTTCTCTGTAGGCCCATGTATGTTAGGGAGCTTTTTAACACATTAACGCTTTAAGTTCTAGGGCCAGAGATGATCTCAAGATAATTTACAACCACTTGCTCTACCCTGTGTTTTCATGGAATCAGTTAATGAGAATAATTTTACTCCCATCAAATTAATGTGTATTCTGCTCCCCACTCACATTGGCAATTATAGTAATATTGTCTATAAATCCTTAATTGTCTTCCATTACAGTCTCATCTTTCATCCTAAAGGTTAAAGAATGGAGGTGGTAGGTTAGTTTTCTAGACAATCCAGAAAAACAACACTGTCAATCTGGGAGAACTTTCATTGCACTGAGCAGTTAAAATATCTCTGTTCCTAATGTTAGAACTTTGCTAATGTTGGACCAACTCTCTTATATTTTAACGTACTAAGAAGGAGCACTGGTGGTACCAAGGTTAAGCACTCAGCTGCTAACTGAAAGGTTGACAGTTCACACCCACCCAGCCACTCTGCAGTTTTCTAAAGAGAAAAACCTGTGATATGCTACTTAAAGACTACAGCCAAGAAAAGCCTATGGGAGCTCAGAGTCTACTACATAGTGCCCAATAGCAAATACGTGAACACTGTACTAAGGCAAAAGTAGAACGACATCTTTCTCTCACTGTTGATTCTCCTTGCCCATGTGCCTCTGAAGCCTGGCATCAGTCATCCTTTCTTTCCTCCTCCCTTGTGGTGACTGCAGAATGGTGGAGGGGTTGGAGAACAGAATGGGAAATTATACACTGCCCTCTGAGATAAAGTGGCTGTTACCAGGTAATCTTCAAGGACTTGGGAATTTAGCTACTTTTGTAAGGAGGATATTTATTCCCAAAACTGCAAAATTGTTTAAGAAATTAAAAAAACAAAACTTTTTAGTGCGAATTGGGTGAAGGTTTACTGAGTAAACCAGTTTTACACTAAAAAATTCCTACACATTTTGTTTCTTCTCATTGATCGCAATTGCCACAATGTAACATCACTGATCCCACTTCCTCCCTGTTTTCATTCCTCCTTTCCTAGCCCTTCTGAACTTTGTGCTTGGGTAAATGCTGCCCTTGTGATGTCAAATGGTGGATTAGTCCAGTGTGCCGATCTGATCTGACTAGTGTCATTGTATTTTGAATAGAGAAGGAATAGAATCAATGTCATGTGAATTTAGTGACGGTTAGCTGGTGAACCCTGATGTGTAACCAGTGGTGAGAAAAGCAGTGAGGTTGTTTTTAAATTTTGGAGTCATTTCTGTACAAGATCTCAAACTGATAACTTGAAAACTTGCATGCCCCTACTGTGGGAATCAGTGTGGGGCAAACAGGAAACAGATAATGGGCAGTGAGTCTAATTACAGTTATGCCAACAATGAGACCAGAGCCCGGAAAGTCAGAGCATCTGACTGTAACATTTAGTCTTCACTTGTAAAACGTCTCCCAACATGCTTTTAGCCAACTCACCAAGACTTTATGTTTCTAAAACTAGTTGTTAGACTGGTCCTTTGAAACATGAAGATTCTTTTTCCTGCAGAGATAATGTTAGAAACAGGAAATAGTTTCCCAGGCTAACTCCCCCATAACTTTTCTAATACAAAATGTAAAAGATGCATTTGCAGAAATATAAGTCAAAAACAATAAAGCTGCATATGAAAGGGTTTCAGAAACTTCGTGGCAATGATGTGATAAGCCAAAAAAACCTATTTAAAAAAACAACAAAAATTGCTGTGTAGTCGGTTCCAGCACACGGTAACCCTATGTGTTAAAGAGTAGAACTGCTCCATAGAGTTTCCTTGCTGCAATTTTGTTTTAGAAACAGATTGCCAGGCATTTTTTCTGTGAACCATCAACCTTTAGGTTGGTAAAACAACAACAACAAATCCAACTAAATCTACTGCCATTGAGTTGCTTCTGATTCATAGCAACTCTATGTAGGAGTTCCAAGACTGTATATCTTTATGAGAGCAGCTAGCCTCATCTTTCTCTAGCAGAGTGACTTGTAGGTTTGAATCATGGACCTTATAATTAGCAACCCAAAGCCTAACCCATTGTGTGCGTGAGACTTCTTTCTAGCTGTTGTTGTAGCTAAGGGCTATAGAGTTGGTTCCTACGCATAGCAACCCTGTATAGGGTTTCCAAGGACCGACTGGTGAATTTGAACCTTTCAGTTCAAACCGACCTTGCTGTCTAGTGCATTATCCCACAGCTCCGCACCAGGGCTCCTTCCTTATTAGTGGTGGTGGTGGTGGTGTGCCGTGGAGTCAGTGTCTTTTTTTAGTAGTCAAAATGTAAATTCTTTGTCCATATCAACAGGAGTCAAAGTCAAAAATCCAATTGTATGTACTAAAACCACTGGCCTTCTGATGAATAGAATTCCGTTCTTTCCTTGGTTGGAAGAATTGTTCACCTAAACGCCATACTGGTTTAGAATAGGACACGAAACTGAGCAGAAACTAAAACTTTGAGAAACTAAAACTTGCGCCTTTAGTTCTTCTCCCCCGCCACCACCAAAATAAACCCTCTTAGTGGGGACAGACTGTTACTCATTTATTGCTGTGTGTTTCATTGTTCCTAAAAGAAAAATATATTTATAGGAAGATACACAAATGGGAACTGAAATTAGTTCAGATTTGATTCTCCTTGCTCAAATGTATACGGCCCATGACATCAATAGGCTAAATTTTGGAAGAGAGATTTAAAAAGTCATTGCTCTGTTGTTTTATCTAAGTGTTATCGCTTCAGTTCTGACTCTTAGTGACCATGCATAGGCTTTTCGGGGAGTAGTTGGTGGGTTTGAATCACTGGCCTTGTGGTTAGCTGTCCAGTATTTTTCCTACCAATTTCATACCAGGGCCTCAATTGCTAACACTGGAAAGATTTCAAACAATAATTGAGCACCAAGTATTGGACTGTGGCTTAAATAATAAGGAGTCCTGGTGTGGCACCCTAGAATAAGCACTTGACTGCGAGGTTGGTTTGAACCGCAATGTGGGCAGTTTGAATGCACCAGCTGCTCCTCAGAAAACCTATAGAGGGTCACTATGAATCACAACCGACTCAATGGCACTTAACAACATTTTCTTATTTAGTAGTTTTATCAACCCAATGAGGAAGACACAATTATATTCTTTTACAGATGAAGAAATTGTGGTTCAGAGAGAATAAATATCTGTTCAAAGACATGCTGCAAACAGAACTTGAACTTGGCTCAGATGATTCTGGAGCTCTACGTTATAGTCAAGAAGCACTGCCGGTGCTGTGAGTTTACTATTGGGCTGTTAACCATAAGGTCAGGGGTTCAAACCCACCTCACCAGCTTCTCTGCAACAGAAAGATTAAGTTGTCGGCTCCCATAGAGATTGACAGCCTTGGAAACCCTATGGAACAGTTAGAATCTACACTGTCCTCCAGGGTCACTAAGAGTCAGACTCAACTCGATGACAGTGAATGTGTTTTAGCTTGGTATTTGCCTCCAAATTACACTGTCTTCTCAAAGTTCTCTCTGTCTCTCTCTTTTTGCTTTCATTTCCTCTGGAGTTAAACTCTGCAATTCATTCACTTATCCACTTACTAATATTGTAGTATTTTTCTAAAAGAAGATTAAGAGTTTAGGAAATATATTCAACTTTACTGCCATCAAGTTGACTCTGACCCTATGGAATAGACTAGAACTGCTCCACATGGTTTAGGGACTGTAAATGTTTTAGGGGGTGGACAACTTCATCTTTCTTCTGAGAAGCAGTTGGTGGGTTTGAACTGGTAACCTTCAATTAGCAGCCCAATGCTTAACCCACTACACCACTAGGGCTCCTTTTATTCAAAATAGCAAATTAAAATTAATATGAAAGAAAAGAAGGTAAAAGCTTCTTATTGTTAGGTAATGTCGAGTTGGTGGCTTCAAATCATAGCAACTCTATGTGCAACATAACAAAAGACTGCCCAGTCCTGTGCCATCCTCACAGTTGTTAATGAGTCCATTGTTGTGAATCCATCATATTGGGGGTCTTCCTCTTATTGCTACTCCTTCACTTTATCAAGCATGAAGATCCGCTCCAGGTACTGATCCCTCCTAACAACATGTCCAAAGAATGAGAGGTGAAGTCTTATCATCTTTGTATCTGGGGATCATTCCGGCTACACTTTTTCCAAGATAGTTGTTTGTTCTTCTGACAGTCCATGGTAATTTCAATATTATTTTCCAAAACCGTAATTCGAATGCATCAATTTTTCTGCAATCTTCCTTATTCATTATCCAACTTTCACATGTATATTAATCTATTGAAAATACCATGGTCAGACACACCTCAGTCCTCAAACTGACATCTTTGATCTTTAACGCTTTAAAGAGGTCTTTTGCAGCAGATTTGCCAAATGCAATGCATCATCACTTGATTTCTGACTGCTTCTTGCCCATAGAATCCTTCAATATTTCAAGTCAAGGTTTGTGCTTTTTCTTGAGTTTTTTCAGTTTGAAAATGTTTTGCTTGTTGAGCAAATGTTGAGAAATGTTGAGCATGTTCTTTCCTTTTGACTTTCTAATTTCAGGTCTTTGCCCATTTCATTATGAGACTGTGTCTTCTCAAGTCAGCCTTTGGAATTTTCTGTTTAGATCTTTCACTTTCTCATTCCTTCCATTTGTTTTGGCTTCTGCATGCTCAAGAGTAAGTTTCAGAGTTTTTCCTGATATCCAATTTGGTTTTACTTTCCTACATTAAAAAAAAAACCTTTTATTTTCTTCATGTATAAGGTTTTTTATTTTTTAAAGTTTTATTGTGAATTATGTGACAGTTTACATGGGAGAACATCAGTTTTACATTCATCCTATCATATATTGTTTCATTGCCATGGTTACAATCCCCTCCATGCATCACCAATCAATGAAAGGGTAAATCCTAAGTCTGCTTCCCCCCTCTGTCCCCTGCTGGTTGTCAGTACAGAGCCCCTCTCCCTCCCAGGGTCCTGAGTCCCCAGCTGCTCCATCTCGGGGATCACTGCCTCTCTGGGTAGGGTTCCACTCTCCACTCTTGTCCCTTCATGGTTCCAGGGAACTCCGCTCCTAGCCTGCAAAGTTAATCACTCCCCTCCTTGCCACAAAATGTCTACTTTTGCATTTACAACCTTCACAATCAGTCCTGGTAACAATTATTCACCCTTGTATCCCAAGAGACCTATCCGCATTTCCTTCAATCAGTCCCGCCTAGACTGATTAGATACTACTTAGTGGAGATTCTACCTTCCTCCATGCCTTCTCGCTCTAGGTTCCCTCTTGGAAGCTTGTATGCCAGTCACTTCTTGCCTTTGTAGTCCCCCCCACCCCCATTTTGGACAGCCAATGTCCAAGTTGCCCATACTTGTCTACTCTGTGTATGGAGGGGCTCAATGACTGGATGATCAGAGCTTAACTAGAAGAAGAAAGAAGGGGAAAGAAAGAGCAATCTGATGCAATTTGATGAACTTGACCTACATTTATGGATGCAGTAGCTCAAAAAAGGGAACAAATCTTTACAGCCTGTATAAAGTTCTTGATGTCATCCTACAACTCTTCTGGTTTTTGGTTAAGAGTGTTTAATATATTAAATCTATTCTTGAGATGGTCTCTAAATTCAGGTGGAACATATTTAATGTCTGTGTAGTGCTGTAGAATAAGCACTGGACTGCAAGGTCAGTTTGAACTATAAGATTGGTGGTTCAAACTTATCAGCCACTCCTCAGAAACCTTATACAAGGTTTATATGAGTTGGGACTGACTTGACGGCGCTTAAGAACAACAACAACACAACAAATATTTAAGGTCATATTTAGACTCTTGTGAACTTATTTTAATTTTCTTCAGCTTCAGCCTGAACTTGCATATGAGCTTCTCCATCATCTCTTCCCACAGATGTAGTGAATTTGATTCCTCCATCTGGTAAGGTCCACATATATAGTCATCTTTTAAGTTGCTGAAAAAAGATATTTGCAATGAAGACCTTTTGGTCATGCAATTCTGTCATGAGATCTCCTGCATCATTTCTATTACCAAAATCATATTTTCCAACTACTGATCCTTCCTCTTTGTTCCCAACCTTTGCATTACTATGACCAATAATGATCAGTACACCTTGATTTCATGTTTGATCAATTTCAGACTGAAGAAGTTGGTAGAATTCTTCAGTTTTATCATCACTGGCATAGGGATTGGTGTGTAAATTTGCATTATAGTGGTATTAACAGGTCTTGCTTGTAGGTCTGTGAATATTATCTTATCACAAACAGCACCATACTTCAAGATAGATCTTGGAATGCTCTTTTGGATGATGAATGTGAAGCCATTCCTCTTCAATTTGTCACTACTGGCATAGTAAACCATATGATTGTATGATTTAAGATGGCCAATACCGATCCATTTTAACTCACTAATATCCAGGATAATGATGTTTATGTGTTCTGTTTCATTTGAACAATTAACAATTTTCCTAGATTCATACTTAGTACATTCCATATTCTGATTATTAGTGGATATTTATAGCTGTTTCTTCCCATTTTGAGTTGTGCCACATCAGCTAATGAAGATCTCAAAAGCTTTGTTCCATTTACACCATTAAGGCGAACTCTTCTTTAAGGGTGCAGTTCTTCCCCAGTCATATTTTGAGTATCTTCCAGCCTGAGGGGTCCATCTTCAGGCAGTGTATCAGACAATGTTCTATCATCATTCATGAGGGTTTCGGTAACTCACCACTCAGAAATGGTCTGCCTTCTTTCTTCCTGGTGTGGAGTCAGATTCAACTCAATGGCAGTGGGTTTGTATTTTTCGGGGTGCCATAGGTTGGCACTTGACCTCAAGGTCGGTTTTAACTGCAAGGTTGGCGGTTCAAACTCACCAGCTGCTCCTCCTCAGAAACCCTATACAGGGTCATTATAAGTCAGAACCGGCTCTATGGCATTTAACAACAGCTGGAAGTTGGTTTTAGTCTGGAACCTCCACTGAAACGTGTCCCATGGGTAACCCAGTCAGTATTTAAAATACCAGCAGCGAAGCTGCCCGAATCACAGTAACACAGCTGCCACAGTATGCTAACTGACAGACTAGTGATGGGGTAAAAGTTTAGGCTACAAAAATAATAGCCAGGAGTGAAGTTAGGACCCTAAAACATGTGTCACAAAATCCTATACAGCAGAGGGCCTCAGATCAGTCTCTGAGTTTCCTTACAGCCAGTGAAAAGAAGAGACATAACTAATGAGGGTAGTGGTGGTTGTTGTTATGTGCCGTGGAGTCGGTTCCGACTCATAGCAACCCTGTACAGGGTTTCTGAGGCTGTAAATCTTTACGGGAACAGAAAGTCTCATCTTTCTCCTGTGGAACAGCTGGTAGTTTCCAACTGCTGACCTTAAGGTTCGCAGCCTGATTCGTAACCACTATGCTACCAGAGCTCCTTAATTAATGAGGGTACTCACTGTAATTTTAAGACAAAAAAAAAAAAAAAAATACCCCATCATTTACTCAGATGAGGCTGTGCAATTCCTACCACTAAGACCAGGGAAATTCTTGTGAATTCCCATAGAGAAGATACTGTGTGACTTAATGACATATGTTCTTATAGTTCTAACAGCTAAGTCTTTTAGGGAAGAATTGGCAGGTAGCATGAGATGGCAGGTCAGGAAGAGTTATGCAAATAAATGGGCATATTGGGTCTGACCACCTAGACGTCTGTCTTTATGAGCAGGACCCACAATAGAACTGGACTCTGAGAAGTTGGCCTCTGCATCAATAGGTCTGTTCTGATGATCTACCATTGTTTGAATTAGAAGATTAAACCAGAGCCTCATATCCACCTAGACTTAGATGGGATTTGTATAACAAATGCAAGTTAACTTCAAAAGATGGTTTTGAGGGTGGGAATCTCCTGTCTCCCTTACTTAAAAAAATTAAAATTTGCTTATCTTTTGCTGATGACATTTCTTAATTTTCATTTCTCTCTCGATCTCTTTTTCCAGGCAAGAAGTCTCAGCAAAGGTAAGTTTTATCAGAGAGGACTTTACACATCTGTTGATCCATTCTCTACCTTACTAAGATCCTTTCTGTTATAGCTAGGCACATTTGCATGATTTGCTACATTCCTTTCAAGGTTCTTGTCCAAATGAACTTTCTAGATAAAGTGAGAAATCTACCAGCTTCCTTTAGAAACTGTGATTTTTAGTGTTAAGGGGCTCAATGACCAAATGAATAAGCATTGCCTAGTAGGGAAGGGATGTTTAGGTAAAGGAATAAAAACTGTGTAATTGTCTCTGAATTTTCTTTGATGTTTGGAATGATTGTGATGCATTTCTTCTTGGCCTGGCTGAACTTAAAGACATAACTACTGTAATAATTAGAGTCTTGGTGTGGCACTGTAGGATAAGCACTGGACTGCTAACCTCAAGATTGATGGTTCCAACTCACCAGTCACTCCTTGGAAACCCTATATAGTGTCACTATGAATCAGAACTGACTCAGTGGCACTTAATAACAACAACTGTATTGATGAAGCAAGCAATTCAAAGATTTATTAGGAAACTAGCATATTCCAAACCCGAAGAAGATTCAGGCCATACCCTAGACCCTCAGTGCCTGCATAAGAGGCTAAACACCTTCTGCTGTGATAAGCATTAACCTTCAGAATAGACTAGTTTGTTGTTGTTGCTAGTTGCCATCTAATCTATTTCAACTCAGGGTAACCCTGTGTGTATGAGAGTAGAAATTACTCTGTAAGGGCTTCTGTGCTGTAAGCTGTTGGAAGCAGATTAACCTCAGGTCTATATTCTGAGGTACCTGTGAGTGCGTTCAAGCCACCAACCTTCTGGCTTGTAGTCAAGCATTTAGCCATTTGTGCCACCCAGAGGTTCCTATAGTTTCTTCAAAAAGACATTTTTAAAAGCTTGATTTTGAAGCTCATGTTTCTTCAGTTAGAAGAAGAAATAATGCTGAAAAGAGATGCAGGTGTATGGAAGTGAATGTTCCATCTGGCAGGAATGAAGATGGCAAACTTGGGGTTTAGTGACTTGCTTTGAAATTTTAGGTAGGGTAGTGCTAATAAAAATTACTATGGAAAATGAGACCTTGGTGACATACAGAAGTACCGAGATGGACATCTGAGCTCCTTTGAAATTACTGGAATTGAAGTGCGATGTCCCTGAGAAGGTTGGGTGCTTGACAACAAACCAACCAACCAGATCTAACTTTTTACTGAGCATCTCTTACTAGTTCAGTGGGCTTCAGCTTAGTGTGCAAAAGAGAAACTGGGAGAAATAAAGGCAGCAGAGGCAAGATCATAAAGTAATTCTATGCCACATTAAGGGGCACTGGTGTAGCGTTGTGGGTTAATACGCTGGACTGCAAAGTCACTTTGAACCACATGATCGGCTGTTCAAGTTCACCAGCTGCTCCTTGGAAACCCTGTACAGGGTCACTATGGGTTATAATCAACTCAATGGCATTTAACAACAATAAGAAGCATGGGCTTTATCTTGAAATCTTTGGGGGTATTACTAAGTGGGTTTAAGCAGATGTCATAATTAAATTTGTGTTTTATGAGATGACTGCATAACATACACGGGAAATGGGTGAGATTGGAGACAAGGAGAATGATTTTGGAGGCATTTGAAGTTATTTAGGCTGAAACTGATGGTGCCCACCTAGAGAAATAGCAGTGAGGATGGGTCTATGGGCTAATAGGAGGCAATATCAATGGACTATGATTATTTATTGACTAAGAGAAAGAAGATTCAAGAAGTTGCTACAATTCTTACATGGGATCTGGTTGGTAGTGGTAACATTTACTGGGAAGGGATCAAAAAAGAATGAGAAATTTTGGAGGTGAGGATCATGAGTTCAGTTTTGTCTATGTTGAACTTAAAGCATCTGTGGTTCATCCACAATCCACTGGGTCTATCTGCCCTTTTGAGTTAGATATATAGAGGCCCTCACAAGACAGGAACTTAACTGCTGCCAAGGGAGTAGGCTTGGTCTTCCAGACAGCATGGGGTAAGAGAATGGAAGAGGACCTGGGAGAGAAGGTGGGACCTGAGGAACATCCATATCTACCAAGTGGACTAAAAAAGGAGAAAGAAAGCAGACTGCCAAAGAGGTAGAAGGAAAATGAGGTAGGTGAGTATGGTTTTGTAACTAGTAAGGAAAGAAGGGAACAGACAGGGTTTCAAATGCTGCTAGGAGAATCAATCTGTTTCCATTGGGTATCACAAGGGTATTAGTGGGGAGACCATTTTCAGTATAGAGGCAGTGACAGAAGTCAAATGACTCGGGTCTAGTGAGGATTGGAAAGCAGAGGCAGAACCTGGAGTTACCTCTTTCAAAAAGCTCAACTTTGAAGGAAAGGAGAGAGTTAAGTGGTAACTGAATTAGGGACATGAAATCAACAGTTTTCAAAATTATTACTCTATTTTATTTTATTGCATTCTCTTCTCTTTACTTATATACTTGAGGATCTTAGACTCTTCTTTGGACTTTCTCTGTGGGAAGGAAACCCACAAGATACAAAGATTTCTTTCATGTTCACACCCACTCATTGTCAGAGTAATCCACCCCTACACTCACTGAGTGAAAGTCTTTTCTGCCACAATCTACCCAGAGCTATTATTTGGTCACAGGAACCACCTGTGTTTTAATTGCCACTAAATGGAAGTAGATCAATTCAAATGTTGGTAGACGTCCTTGGGGAATGTGAAGAATGGCTAGCAGGAAGAGATTCATCATGATGTTAATTACCACATTAAGCGAATTGCCATATTAAGTTTAATGAATCAATATTAAACGTAATTAAGTTACAATGAATGAATCAATAGTTATTTATTGAATACCTTTGTGTTGGAACAATACTAAGATTGACTGGGACACTAAGAGGAATAAATCTTTGTCCTTGAACTCAGGGAGATTATGATTTAGTTGGAGAGTAAAGACAGGAAGATAGAAAATGTAGGGCAATACAGGAGGCAAATGAATTCTGGTAGTGGAAAAAGTAAAAACCATTTTGACTGAAGCCAGTGGAACCTGGGTTGGTTTTGAAGGATGAATAGAAATGAGGTGAGTAGAGAGAAGCAAGAGAGGTAGTCTGTTGTGGTTGATGATAAATGCCATGGAGTCGGTTCTGGCAAGGAGCAGCTGGTAAGCTTGAACCGCTGAACATGTGGTTCAAACTGACTTGCGTCCAGCACATTAACCCACAGCGCTTCACCATGCTAGTCCAAAGGTAGACTAGAGAAGGGAAATGATGTAAACAAAGGCATAGTATGAGGCTATAAAAGGAATGTTCAGGGACCAGTAGAACTGTCTGGAGACCCCGGTTTGTAGAGGAGTCATGGGAGAGATGTTGGAAGGGAGGGCTGGCCCAATAAACATGAACCTTGAAAATTTTCACCCCATGATCTAGAAGTAACTAACAAAGCAGCTTTTGGACAGCTCTCATTTCTTGGCCAAAGTTATTTTAATTCATACAATTTTAGGTCTAGAAAGGATCTTGATTAACATTGTAGGCAAACTCTCTTATGGTTGAGCTAATAAAATAATTCTCTTATAAGTCCTGAGCTGATGCTAGAGCTAGTTAATAATAATAGTTATCAGACGTTTATTCCATGCTGGGCACTGTTTGAAGTGTTTTACATGTCTTAAATCATTAACTATTGCCTACAAGCTGGTTAAGAATCGGGCTGCAAACTTCAAGTTCAGCCATTCAAAACTACCAGCTGTTCCACGGGAGAAAGATGAGGCTTTCTGCTACTGTAAAGATTTACATTCTCGGAAACCCTGTACAGGGTCGCTATGAGTAGGAACTGACTCCATGGCACATAACCACCACCACAAGCTGGTAAGGTTTAAAGCCTCATAAACCTTATACAGGGTCCCTATGAGTCGAAACCAACTCCATGGCACTTAACAACAGTAAGCCTATGGGGGTAGGTTCTATGACTACCCCATTTTACAGGTAAAGAAACAGAGGCATAGAGAGATGAAACAGCTAGCCCAGGACCGTTGAATAAATGACAAACTGAGATTTGAACCCATCTGGACCCAGAGATCATGCTCTTGACCCGTAGGCTTCTACGACTAAGACTCTCGACTCTCAAGTTAGAATTCTAAGTCCTAGACATTCTCTTCCCATAATATATATATATATATATATTTTTTTTTTTTTTTTCAAATAGAAATCATTGTGTGATAACACTGAGGAAGGGTGGAGTAGAAGGGCGTATTTCTCGAATAAGCCAAAGGTTTAAAAACACTATCACTCTAAACACTGTGTGTCAGGTTTTTTTTGTTGTTTTTGTTTTTCATTGAGCTAATTCTCATTGTCTTATGTGCTTGTTCCTATAAGTTTTTGTTTGATGAATGACTGGCTTCTTGGGCATTTGTGGTTTCAACCATGGTTAGGTTATTTTGACTCTTCTGCAAACTGGTTCTGTTTGTCACCTCGTTTAGTTTCTAGTGTCTAAATTCTGCTGGGCTAAAAGCTACACCCAAGATGCACAGGAAGATACGATGCCAACCTCAGAGGAGGGCATAAGGGAAATTTTGTCTTCTGCAAAACTTTTTTTCTCTATATTGGCAAACACATTTGCAGCTGCTCAACTGTGGTTTACACTTGCTGTTCATCATGAAAGTTGAGTTTCAGAATCTGATTCTCCCTTAGAAAGGAGCTATTAAAACATGTCATATTTGGTTCTCCCCTGTAATTTCCAAGAATATGAGGCAATTGGGTTACAAAAAAGTGTCATTTATTTTATGAACCTAAATTGGTCATCATCTTCATAAGTCATTTCTCATCAGAATCAAACTTTTAGAAGAACTACCACCATATTCTTCATGAGTTTTTATTTTCTCTGATTTCTCTTCCCATTTGAGCATGTCTTTATGTCTCTGGCTTTCCATTGTTCAAAATCTGTCTAAAATGTCCTTTAAAGTCATTAGATCCAGAGGCAAAACCTTTCCTTGAAAGATTTCTCCAAGTGAGTTCTGTGGACAGA